TACCAGGGGAACTTTTTTTTTTTAATTTATCTTTATTACTACTAAAGCAAACGAGCGCGTAGCGCGAGCTGCATTTGGTGTTGGAAGAAGAGGGTTCAGGGTATCCCCTAGTCGGGAGCTCCCGACTAGAACCTCTTACTTGTTATTTAATAAAACCTTCAACTAAATCGTGCTGCTGCAAGGGAAGTTCATCGTCGGCTTGTCGAAGAATTCTAAGAAAAGACCAAAAATTGAATATGTTCAATTTTTGCGACTTGCTTTTTATTCACACGCACACTCTTTCGAGGGTGCAATCGTGTGAAATTATAAAAGGGTTTGGCCTGTTCATGTGATGGTAAGGGTAAGGGTACCTGAACGTTGGCATGTGTGCATGTTTTTGGGCCTGCCAAGCACACTTTTCTATATGGATGAAAGCATTTATGCGTTTGTGTGCGGGTTGCCTGCCTGTTCGATGCAAATTTGTAGATTTGAAGTTATTGGCATTTCTGAATTTCGAGCTCTATACACACACATACACCCAAATGTGCAACATCAAATCCAAGATAAGGCGAATGAGCTGGCTCCTTAACTCCAACAACAAACTCTCGCTCCGAAACAAAGTCCTCATCTACAAGGTAATCGTTGCCCCTGTGTGGCGTTATGGGCTCCAAGTCTATGGTATAGCTGCAAAAACACACGTGTACGAAATTCGCATCATTCAAGCCAAAACCTTGCGCAAAATAACTGGAGCCGAATGGTATATTCGCACACGCGACATCGCAAAGGACCTCAGCGTACCAATGGTGGGAGACGTAGTCAAAAGGCAAGTTACTCAACAAAGCTCCACAACCATCCTAACGTCCTGGCAAGGAACCTGCTAAGGAGGCGAAGAAGAAGTCGACTGAAGAGGACCTACCCAGCTGACCTACTCAATCGATATATGTATATAGGTCACAAACTGCATTAAATACCTCTAAATTTGTTTCTGTGTTTATATGTATATATGTATAATCTGTTAAACTAATTTTAAATCTACAGTTTTCGCTAAGCTAAGTAATTATGTCACTCTGATAAAAGTTGCTAACATTTATGTAACAGGATACCAGATTTCGAAATAAACAAAATACAATAGAAAATAAAAAAACAAACTAATAACTTTTTAATTAATAACGTTTATAACTAAAAAACTTAAATTCTATGTTAAATTATTTAACATTTTTTTTATGATTCTTTTTTTTGAAGCTGCATAGCTTTTCTATGTTGGTGTTCTGCAGACCCAGCACCAGCTTCCTTTGCAATGGACTCTGAAATGAAAAGTATATGTTTATTTTTCATGTTTTCGTATTTATTTTAAATAATACATACCAATTAGCGCTGGAAAAAGTGTTTAAGTGTTGTAAGCCGAAGCTTGCCTAATTGCTTTAAATGCCATTTGCTTACCATTTTTACCGTTTCCTTTTTTTTTAATTATTATAAATTGCACTTATTTATATATTTATTTAGTTATTTAAAGGGTACTCAAGTGTATAGCAGTGCAGTGTACAAAGCGGCAAGAATATCAAACCAAGGGATGCTTCTTAGGACAACAATTAAGCAAGTTGCAATTGAACTTGTACACTTGCGCGGCTATATACTCCCATGCAATCTATTTTCATAAATATATTAATAGTATTGTAAAGTCATAAAAATATTAAAATATTTATGTATTTCTTTAAAGTTCTTTTCTGCACTAAAATTTGCACATGCATCACTTATCTTCGCACTTCACAAATGAAACGAACCGTTTTAAAGTTGCCTCGTGCCAGATAGAAGCGACGAGCAAACGAACAAAAATCAACACAAGTAAGAGGTTCTAGTGAACCCTCTTCTTCCGATAGTCGATAGGTATAAAATGAAAAATACTATATATATATATGTATATAATATTCTAGAAGCTACATGTCAAGTTTGGTAACTCTAGCTCATATTATTTGCCGAAATTGCTCAAAAAACAGGATTTCGATATAGATTTTTATCGATTACTTGGAACGGGGCAAGTTATCGAATATCGGAAACAAACTCGATCTGCGCGGGGACTAGGAGGACCTCTAGCTCTTATAGGTTCTGAGATCCTTGCGTTCATACATACGGACGGACGGACAGACAGACAGACTGACATGGCTTGATCGACTCGGTTATTGATGCTGATCAAGAATATATATACTTTATGGGGTCGGAGATGCTTCCTTCTGCCTGTTACATACATTTGCACAAATACAATAAACCCTTTTTACCCATTTTTAATGGGTTCAGGGTATAAAAACTGTATTAAAATAGTAGCGCATAAACATAGCACAGAAAATAAAAATAAAATCTGTTACGAGTTCGAACCCTGCCGAGGAAACTATTTTTTTTTTTTGGCTGGTGTGGCAGTTGCTAAGAGGCGGCAGCAAGTAATGCGGATTATGCTTCGTCCCAAAAATTTGATGAAGAGCAATAAAAAGTAGCTAAATTCCTAGATTATGCAGTCAGAAATTGCATAGGCAACAAGAAGGTTGATGACCGGCGCGCCCTTCCTTTGTTATTTGTGTAATTCCCTTTTCTTGTGATTTTCGCTCGTTTTCCGACGTTTCTGTCTGGCGCGAGGCAACATTAAAACGTGTCATTCGTGAAGTGAAGTTATGAGTTGCATGCGCAAATTTTAGTCAGCTGGAAAATTTAAAAAAAAAAATTTTAATGTTGTAATGGGTATGCATTTAAAATAATAACAATCGTAATTACGATTGAATCGTTTATCGCGCTCGGTGCATATGCTTCTAGTTTAGTTCCATTTTTTCGTCGAAACTGAATTCTTGGTATGGCTGTGAGGTATGAGGCGGTGGAGAGGTTGACTGGAGTTGCGTGTTCGCCTCCGGTACAAAAAATGTATTTTAATGCTAACGCAAAGGGTCAGGATACTCCCGACAAATTTTTTATGTTTCATCTATAAATATAAAACTATTTTTTTTGACGGACTGACTGCCTTATTAGTGATCAACGCGCATCCCAAGCCCTAAGAGCTAGGAAGCTGAAAATGTTACTGTAGTTACCGTATGTGATGAAGGTGCATGCTAAGACGGTTATATGAATCCTTTTTGCTTAGCGGACGCTAATCGATCTCAAACTAATTTTTATAGATCTTTTTGGAAAATACAATTCTCCTTGGTGAAAAATGCGGCTAAAAAATTTGGTTGGCGATATATTGGGTTCTAATTCATATCCAGGAATCTTTATTAAAATTCATTTGAAACGTGTTTCACACTTTTGAAAAATCCAAGGATCCTCATGGAAAAGCTCTAAGTTTCATCTGATCGGTCTTAAATTTACTTTCAAAGCCCTACATAACAAGTTAATGAATACGTGTTTTAACGATTTTGGAAACTGCGAACTGTGGAAATATAGTGGGAGCTTGTTGCATGCAACTTTTTGTGTACCGACTTCAAACTCATTATCAGATTTCTTTGTTAGAATTTAGTTGATGCGCTTTTTGCGATATCGATGGCTTTTAGATGGAAAATGCGGGCATGGGTTAAAAGTTTATTTTTTGGCTTCAAGATTTTCACCACAAGCCTTACATGGCCGGAAACCGTCCTTCTCAACTTATGATTATTTACTTGATGGTTACTTATAGCACATAACTTGCTTTGGGCAAGGGTGGGTAATACCCGCTAGTCTATATATATCTCTATATATAAAACTGTTTGTCCTGACTGACTGACTGAGTGACTGATTGGTGATCAACGCACAGCCCAAACCGTAAGAGCTAGAAAGCTGAAATTTTCACTGTAGTTACCTTATGTGATGTAGGTGCACGTTAAGACGGGGTTTCGGGAAATTCCACCCGCAAGTGTGGAAAAAACGCGAAAAACGTTTGCATGTAACTTTTTTGTTTACCATCCGATCGGCCTCAAACTTATTTTCAAAGATCTTTGCTCAAATTCATTTGAGGAGTGTTTCACACTTTTTGAAAAATCCATTCCTCCTTGGTGGAAATGGAGGTCAAAGATTTGGTGGGTGACGTTTCGCGCTCAAATTCATTTCCAGAGAGCTATAAGAAAAATCATTTGAGACGTGTTTCACACTTTTCGCAGAATTCAAACTTTTTCGGGGGAATGCGATTTAAAGATTTTTTGGGCGAAGCTTTAAGTTGTGTCCGATTTGCTTTAAACTTATTTTCATAGCTCTACATAAGAACTTAATGAATACGTATTTCAGCGTATTTTGAAAAATCCATCACTCCTTGGTGCAAATGGGGGTCGGAGATTTAATGGGTGACGTTTTGTGTTCAAATTTATTTCCAAAGATCTATAAGAAAAATCATTTGAGACGTGATTCACATTTTTCGCAAAATCTAAACTCCTTCGTTGGAAAATGCATTTCAAAGATTTTGTTGGTGAATTTTAAGTTTTGTTCGATTTGCATAAAAGTTGTTTGATTCCCGTTCGATCAGTTTCAAAATCATTTTCAAAGATTTTTGAAAACATTGATTTTATAACTTACGTGCCACGGGCAAGGCCGGGCTATACCCGCTAGTATATATATATATATCTTTGGAAAAACTAGTTAGTTATATTATATTATATTCTTTTATAGTCCGCAGAACAGCATTTATATGTCAATATTTCCTTATATTGATTTTTAAACTACAGTTTCTTGCTTCAACAATTGTTTTTGGGCCATGGGATATCTAAAACGCTAAATTACATTTAAGTCCACATTGACGGTGAGGTTCGTGCTAGCAGTAGCACATTTAAACAGGTTCACATGGCTACGTGTGCTACTAGCTCTGCTACAGTCAACGGAACAAAGTAAGCTCGTCACTCACTTGCGCCTCTGATAAGTTACTTATGCAAGCCTGGCCAGAGGTTTATAGACCAAGCGCGTGCTTTAACATAACATTTGCATCCGTATACCCCTTTTTAACAGAGAATATAATTTTAGACAGAAGAATGCGAACTTTTGCATTACTTTTAAAAAGAGACAAAATATAGATGACTTAAATACTAAACATTGCGATCGGTGTATGTTAGTATCCAGGGCGTCATCAAGTGGTTCGCACGCCATTAGACAAACAGGATATATTAACAGCTAAGCCAGGATATCGTTTTTGTTACGATGAGACTGTTTATACTATGTCTTCTAGTCGCTACAGGCGCAACATTTACACTCTTTGGTCCGCATATTCGCATTGTACCCAGTCAAAAGCGCAATGAAATAATATTGCACTTTCGTAATCCTTGCAACAACAAGACGAGCCATACTACTCTTAGACCACCACCAACTCAGTGCAAGCATTATCCAACAAAACAAAACTGTGAACAAAATTCTTCACATCAACAAAAAACTACAACTCCATATAACTGGCCTCAAGAAACAAAGCTGACAATAACATCGACCCAAACACCTGTGTATCGCACAACTTTCGGTAAGACAGCCAAGCCAAGTACTCAGAAGTCGACAACGTTCAATCCAACTGTAGCTAGTACTACGTCAATTAAACCAAGTTCTGAAAAGCCAACAACGCTGAAGCCAAGTGAGCCAAGTAAAACAACAACAAAGCTAAACACCCAAAAGCTTTCAACGCTTAAGCCAACTGAACCTAGTACTTCAACAACTTTGCCAAGATCTACAAAGCATTCCTCGCTGAAGCCAACTCAAACAAATAGAACAACAAATAAGCCAAGCACCCAAAAGTCGACAACGTTCAAACAAACTGTAGCAAGTATTGCAACAAATGAACCAAGTTCTCAAAAGCCAACAACGCTGAAGCCAACTGAGCCAAGTAAAACAACAACAAAGCCAAGCACCCAAAAGCCTTCAACGAAAAAGCCAACTGATTCAAGTTCCACAACAATTAAGTCAAGTACTCCGAATTTAACCACTTTGAAGCCGACTAATAGAAGTTCTCAAAAGCCATCAACACTAAAGCCAATTGGGCCAAGTAAAACAACAGCTAAGCTAAGCACCCAAAAGCTTTCAACGATGAAGCCAACTGAGCCAAGTACTTCAATAATAAAGCAAAGTTCTACGAAGCATTCCTCGCTGAAGCCAACTCAAACAAATAGAACAACAAATAAGCCAAGCACCCAAAAGTCGACAACGTTCAAGCAAACTGTAGCAAGTATTGCAACAAATGAACCAAGTTCTCAAAAGCCAACAACGCTGAAGCCAACTGAGCCAAGTAAAACAACAACAAAGCCAAGCACCCAAAAGCCTTCAACGAAAAAGCCAACTGATTCAAGTTCCACAACAATTAAGTCAAGTACTCCGAATTTAACCACCTTGAAGCCGACTCAAAGAAGTTCTCAAAAGCCATCAACACTGAAGCCAATTGGGCCAAGTAAAACAACAGCTAAGCTAAGCACCCAAAAGCTTTCAACGATGAAGCCGACTGAGCCAAGTACTTCAATAATTGAGCAAAGTTCTACGAAGCATTCCACGCTGAAGCCAACTCAAACAAATATAACAACAAATAAGCCAAGCACCCAAAAGTCGACATCGTTCAAACCAACTGTAGCAAGTGTAACAACAAATGAACCAAGTTCTCAAAAGTCAACAACGCTAAAGGCAAGTGAGCCAAGTAAAACAACAAAAAAGACAAGCACCCAAAAGCCTTCAACCATAAAGCCAACTGATTCAAGTTCTACAACAACTAAGTCAAGTACTCTGAAGTCAACCACCTTGAAGCCGACTCAAAGAAGTTCTCAAAAGCCATCAACACTGAAGCCAATTGGGTCAAGTAAAACAACAATTAAGCTAAGCACCCAAAAGCTTTCAACGATGAAGCCAACTAAACCAAGTACATCAACAATTAAGTCAAGTTCTACGAAGCATTCCACGCTGAAACCAACTCAAACAAATAGAACAACAACTAAGCCCATCACCCAAAAGTCGACATCGTTCAAACCAACTGTAGCAAGTTTTACAACAAATAAACCAAGTTCTCAAAAGGCAACAACGCTGAAGGCAACTGAGCCAAGTAAAACAACAAAAAAGACAAGCACCCAAAAGCCTACAACCATAAAGCCAACTGATTCAAGTTCTACTACAACAAAGTCAAGTACTCCGAAGTCAATAACTCTGAACCCAACTCAAACAAGCAAACCAACAAATAAGCCTTCAACGAAAAAGCCAACTGATTCAAATTCCACAACAATTAAGTCAAGTACTCCAAATTCAACCACCTTGAAGCCGACTAATAGAAGTTCTCAAAAGCCATCAACACTGAAGACAATTGGGCCAAGTAAAACAACAGCTAAGCTAAGCACCCAAAAGCTTTCAACGATGAAGCCGACTGAGCCAAGTACTTCAATAATTGAGCAAAGTTCTACGAAGCATTCCACGCTGAAGCCAACTCAAACAAATATAACAACAAATAAGCCAAGCACCCAAAAGTCGACATCGTTCAAACCAACTGTAGCAAGTGTAACAACAAATGAACCAAGTTCTCAAAAGTCAACAACGCTAAAGGCAAGTGAGCCAAGTAAAACAACAAAAAAGACAAGCACCCAAAAGCCTTCAACCATAAAGCCAACTGATTCAAGTTCTACAACAACTAAGTCAAGTACTCTGAAGTCAACCACCTTGAAGCCGACTCAAAGAAGTTCTCAAAAGCCATCAACACTGAAGCCAATTGGGTCAAGTAAAACAACAATTAAGCTAAGCACCCAAAAGCTTTCAACGATGAAGCCAACTAAACCAAGTACATCAACAATTAAGTCAAGTTCTACGAAGCATTCCACGCTGAAACCAACTCAAACAAATAGAACAACAACTAAGCCCATCACCCAAAAGTCGACATCGTTCAAACCAACTGTAGCAAGTTTTACAACAAATAAACCAAGTTCTCAAAAGGCAACAACGCTGAAGGCAACTGAGCCAAGTAAAACAACAAAAAAGACAAGCACCCAAAAGCCTACAACCATAAAGCCAACTGATTCAAGTTCTACTACAACAAAGTCAAGTACTCCGAAGTCAATAACTCTGAACCCAACTCAAACAAGCAAACCAACAAATAAGCCTTCAACGAAAAAGCCAACTGATTCAAATTCCACAACAATTAAGTCAAGTACTCCAAATTCAACCACCTTGAAGCCGACTAATAGAAGTTCTCAAAAGCCATCAACACTGAAGACAATTGGGCCAAGTAATACAACAAGTAAGCTAAGCACCCAAAAGCTTTCAACGATGAAGCCAACTGAGCCAAGTACTTCAATAATTAAGCAAAGTTCTACGAAGCATTCCACGCTGAAGCCAACTCAAACAAATATAACAACAAATAAGCCAAGCACCCAAAAGTCGACAACTTTCAATCCAACTGTAGCAAGTTTTACAACAAATAAACCAAGTTCTCAAAAGGCAACATCGCCGAAGCCAACTGAGCCAAGTAAAACAACAACAAAGACAAGCACCCAAAAGCCTTCAACCATAAAGCCAACTGATTCAAGTTCTACAACAACTAAGTCAAGTACTCTGAAGTCAACCACCTTGAAGCCGACTCAAAGAAGTTCTCAAAAGCCATCAACACTGAAGCCAATTGGGTCAAGTAAAACAACAATTAAGCTAAGCACCCAAAAGCTTTCAACGATGAAGCCAACTAAACCAAGTACATCAACAATTAAGTCAAGTTCTACGAAGCATTCCACGCTGAAACCAACTCAAACAAATAGAACAACAACTAAGCCCATCACCCAAAAGTCGACATCGTTCAAACCAACTGTAGCAAGTTTTACAACAAATAAACCAAGTTCTCAAAAGGCAACAACGCTGAAGGCAACTGAGCCAAGTAAAACAACAAAAAAGACAAGCACCCAAAAGCCTACAACCATAAAGCCAACTGATTCAAGTTCTACTACAACAAAGTCAAGTACTCCGAAGTCAATAACTCTGAACCCAACTCAAACAAGCAAACCAACAAATAAGCCGAGCACCCAAAAGCCTTCAACGAAAAAGCCAACTGATTCAAGTTCCACAACAATTAAGTCAAGTACTCCAAATTCAACCACCTTGAAGCCGACTAATAGAAGTTCTCGAAAGCCATCAACACTGAAGACAATTGGGCCAAGTAATACAACAAGTAAGCTAAGCACCCAAAAGCTTTCAACGATGAAGCCAACTGAGCCAAGTACTTCAATAATTAAGCAAAGTTCTACGAAGCATTCCACGCTGAAGCCAACTCAAACAAATATAACAACAAATAAGCCAAGCACCCAAAAGTCGACAACTTTCAATCCAACTTTAGCAAGTTTTACAACAAATAAACCAAGTTCTCAAAAGGCAACAACGCCGAAGCCAACTGAGCCAAGTAAATCAACAACAAAGACAAGCGCCCAAAAGCCTTCAACCATAAAGCCAACTGATTCAAGTTCTACAACAACTAAGTCAAGTACTCCGAAGTCAATCACGCAGAGCCCAACTCAAAAAAGCAAACCAACGAATAAGCCAAGCACCCAAAAGCCTTCAACGAAAAAGCCAACTGATTCACGTTCCACAACTATCAAGTCAAGTTCTCCGAATTTAACCACCTTGAAGCCGACTCAAAGAAGTTCTCAAAAGCCATCAACACTGAAGCCAATTGGGCCAAGTAAAACAACAACTAAGCTAAGCACCCAAAAGCTTTCAACGATGAAGCCAACTGAGCCAAGTACTTCAATAATTAAGCAAAGTTCTACGAAGCATTCCACGCTGAAGCCAACTCAAACAAATATAACAACAAATAAGCCAAGCACCCAAAAGTCGACAACGTTCAATCCAACTGTAGCAAGTTTTACAACAAATAAACCAAGTTCTCAAAAGGCAACATCTCTGAATCCAACTGAGCCAAGTAGAACAACAACAAAGACAAGCACCCAAAAGCCTTCAACCATAAAGCCAACTGATTCAAGTTCTACAACAACTAAGTCAAGTACTCTGAAGTCAACCACCTTGAAGCCGACTCAAAGAAGTTCTCAAAAGCCATCAACACTAAAGCCAATTGGGTCAAGTAAAACAACAGCTAAGCTAAGTACCCAAAAGCTTTCAACGATGAAGCCAACTAAACCAAGTACATCAGCAATTAAGTCAAGTTCTACGAAGCATTCCACGCTGAAGCCAACTCAAACAAATAGAACAACAAATAAGCCAAGCACCCAAAAGTCGACATCGTTCAAACCAACTGTAGCAAGTATTACATCAAATAAACCAAGTTCTCAAAAGCCAACAACCCTGAAGGCAACTGAGCGAAGTAAAACAACAAAAAAGACAAGCACCCAAAAGCCTTCAACCATAAAGCCAACTGATTCAAGTTCTACAACAACTAAGTCAAGTACTCCGAAGTCAATCACGCTGAACCCAACTCAAACAAGCAAACCAACAAATAAGCCAAGCACCCAAAAGCCTTTAACGAAAAAGCCAACTGATTCAAGTTCTACAACTATTAAGTCAAATACTCCGAAGTCAACCACCTTGAAGCCGACTCAAAGAAGTTCTCAAAAGCCATCAACACTGAAGCCAATTGGGCCAAGTAAAACAACAACTAAGCTAAGCACCCAAAAGGTTTCAACGATGAAGCCAACTGAGCCAAGTACTTCAACAATTAAGCAAAGTTCTACGGAGCATTCTACGCTGAAGCCATCTCAAACAAATATAACAACAAATAAACCAAGCACCCAAAAGTCGCCAACGTTCAAACCAACTGTAGCAAGTATTACAACAAATAAACCAAGTTCTCAAAAGCCAACAACGCTGAAGGCAACTGGGCCAAGTAAAATAACAAAAAAGACAAGCACTCAGAAGCCTTCAACGATAAAGCCAACTGATTCAAGTTCTACAACAATTAACTCAAGTACTTCGAAGTCAACCACCTTGAAGCCGACTCAAAGAAGTTCTCAAAAGCCATCAACACTGAAGCCGATTGGGCCAAGTAAAACAACAGCTAAGCTAAGCACCCAAAAGCTTTCAACGATGAAGCCAACTGAGCCAAGTACTTCAATAATTAAGCAAAGTTCTACGAAGCATTCCACTCTGAAGCCAACTCAAACAAATATAACAACAAATAAGCCAAGCACCCAAAAGTCGACAACGTTCAATCCAACTGTAGCAAGTTTTACAACAAATAAACCAAGTTCTCAAAAGGCAACATCGCTGAAGCCAACTGAGCCAAGTAAAACAACAACAAAGACAAGCACCCAAAAGCCTTCAACGATAAAGCCAACTGATTCAAGTTCTACAACAACTAAGTCAAGTACTCCGAAGTCAATCACGCTGAACCCAACTCAAACAAGCAAACCAACAAATGAGCCAAGCACCCAAAAGCCTTCAACGAAAAAGCCAACTGATTCAAGTTCCACAACAATTAACTCAAGTACTTCGAAGTCAACCACCTTGAAGCCGACTCAAAGAAGTTCTCAAAAGCCATCAACACTGAAGCCAATTGGGCCAAGTAAAACAACAGCTAAGCTAAGCACCCAAAAGCTTTCAACGATGAAGCCAACTGAGCCAAGTACTTCAATAATTAAGCAAAGTTCTACGAAGCATTCCACGCTGAAGCCAACTCAAACAAATATAGCAACAAATAAGCCAAGCACCCAAAAGTCGACAACGTTCAATCCAACTGTAGCAAGTTTTACAACAAATAAACCAAGTTCTCAAAAGGCAACATCGCTGAAGCCAACTGAGCCAAGTAAAACAACAACAAAGACAAGAACCCAAAAGCCTTCAACCATAAAGCCAACTGATTCAAGTTCTACAACAACTAAGTCAAGTACTCCAAAGTCAATCACGCTGAACCCAACTCAAACAAGCAAACCAACAAATAAGCCAAGCACCCAAAAGCCTTCAACGAAAAAGCCGACTGATTCAAGTTCTACAACAATTAAGTCAAGTACTCCGAATTTAACCACCTTGAAGCCGACTAATAGAAGTTCTCAAAAGCCATCAACACTGAAGCCAACTGAGCGAAGTAAAACAACAACAAAGACAAGCACCCAAAAGCCTTCAACGATAAAACCAACTGATTCAAGTTCTACAATAATTAAGACAAGTACTCCGAAGTCTACCACCTTCAAGCCGACTCAAAGAAGTTCTCAAAAGCCATCAACACTGAAGCCAATTGGGCCGAGTAAAACAACAGCTAAGCTAAGCACCCAAAAGCTTTCAACGATTAAGCCATCTGAACCTAGTACTTCAACAACTATGCCAAGTTCTACGAAGCATTCCTCGCAGAAGCCAACTCAAACAAAAAGAACAACAAATAAGCCAAGCACCCAAAAGTCGACAACGTTCAAACAAACTGTAGCAAGTATTACAACAAATAAACCAAGTTCTCAAAGGCCAAGAACGCCAAAGCCAAGTGAGCCAAGTAAAACAACAAAAAAGCCAAGCACCAAAAAGCCTTCAACTGATTCAAGTTCTACAACAATTAAGTTAAGTGCTCCGAAGTCAACCACGCTGAAGCCAACTCAAACAATCAGAACAACAAATATTCCAAGCACTCAAAAGTCTACAACGTTCATGCCATCAACTTTACCACCTTTTAATGTTTTTTAGGTGGGACTTCGCGCGAATCGACCGCTCTTAAGATCCACTTGTGTGCTGTCTATCAAAAATGTAACTTGACCGAAATCTCGAAAACTTTATTTGAGTTGTACTTAAATACAAGTATTCTAAGTTAATTTTAAAACAGCTTTGTTTTTCTTATAGATATTATTAAAATGGTTAAAAAACTGAATTAATATATGGTTCACACGTTGATGATTTGTATAGTATTTTTTCTTCGAATAATAGTCATACGATGTACGCACGCAGACCCAAAACCCATCTTAGCCAAAAGTCGCCAACGTTCAAACCAACTGTAGCAATTATTACAACAAATAAACCAAGTTCTCAAAAGCCAACAACGCTGAAGGCAGCTGGGCCAAGTAAAATAACAAAAAAGACAAGCACTCAGAACCCTTCAACGATATAGCCAACTGATTCAAGTTCTACAACAATTAACTCAAGTACTTCGAAGTCAACCACCTTGAAGCCGACTCAAAGAAGTTCTCAAATGCCATCAACACTGAAGCCATTTGGACCAAGTAAAACAACAACTAAGCTAAGCACCCAAAAGCTTTCAACGATTAAGCCAAAAGAACCAAGTACATCAACAATTAAGCAAAGTTCTACGAAGCATTCCACGCTGAAGCCAACTCAAACAAATATAACAACAAATAAACCAAGCACCCAAAAGTCGGCAACGTTCAAACCAACTGTAGCAAGTATTACAACAAATAAACCAAGTTCTCAAAAGGCGACAACAACGAAGCCGAGTGAGTCAAGTAAAACAACAAAAAAAACAAGCACCCAAAAGCCTTCAACGATAAAGCCAACTGATTCAAGTTCTACAACAATTAAGTTAAGTACTCCGAAGTCAACCAAGTTGCATCCAACTCCAACACACAGAACAACAATTAAGCTAAGCACCCGAAAATCGAATACAATTAAGCCAACAGTAGCAAGTACTACGTTATTTAAGCCACGTACTCAAAAGGCGACAACGCTGAACCCAACTGAAGCAAGTACAACGACAATTCAGACAAGTACTCCGAAGTCAACTCAATCAAATAAAACAACAAATAAATCGGGAACACAAAATTCGACAACGTTCAAGCCAGGTAAAGCAAGTACATCATCAATTAAACCAAGTTCTCAAAAGCCAACAACACCGAAGCCAAGTGAGCCAAGTAAAACAACAACAAATCTTTTAACGATGAAGCCAACTGAACCTGGTACTTCAACATCCAAGGCAAATTCTACGCAGCATTCCACGCTGAGGCCAACTCAAGCAAATAGAACAACAAATAAGCCAAGCACCCAAAAGTCGACAACGTTCAAACCAACTGTAGCAAGTATTAAAACAAATAAACCAAGTTCTCAAAAGGCAACATCGCTGAAGCCAACTGAGCCAAGTAAAACAACAACAAAGACAAGCACCCAAAAGCCTTCAACGATAAAACCAACTGATTCAAGTTCTACAATAATTAAGACAAGTACTCCGAAGTCTACCACCCTCAAGCCGACTCAAAGAAGTTCTCAAAAGCCATCAACACCGATGCCTATTGGGCCAAGTAAAACAACAATTATGCTAAGCACCCAAAAGCTTTCAACGATTAAGCCATCTGAACCTAGTACTTCAACAACTATGCCAAGTTCTACGAAGCATTCCTCGCAGAAGCCAACTCAAACAAATAGAACAACAAATACGCCAAGCACCCAAAACTCGACAACGTTCAAACAAACTGTAGCAAGTATTACAACAAATAAACCAAGTTCTCAAAGGCCAAGAACGCCAAAGCCAAGTGAGCCAAGTAAAACAACAAAAAAGCCAAGCACCAAAAAACCTTCAACTGATTCAAGTTCTACAACAATTAAGTCAAGTGCTCCGAAGTCAACCACGTTGAAGCCAACTCAAACAATCAGATCAACAAATATGCCAAGCACTCAAAAGTCTACAACGTTCAAGCCATCAACTTTACCACCTTTTAATGTTTTTTAGGTGGGACTTCGCGCGAATCGATCGCTCTTAAGATCCACTTGTGTGCTGTCTATCAAAAATGTAACTTGACCGAAATCTAGAAAACTTTATTTGAGTTACACTTAAATACAAGTATTCTTAGATAATTTTAAAACAGCTTTGTTTTTCTTACAGATATTATTAAAATGGTTAAAAAATTGAATTAATATATGGTTCACACGTTGATGATTTTTACAGTATTTTCTCTTCGAATAATAGTCATACGATATACGCACGCAGACCCAAAACCCATCTTAGCTCAATTAAAAGTAATAAAATACAAAGAGAACAATTAAAGAGATTAGGACAGGAAACTACTCCGAATAGAGTAAAAGGATACTTAAAGTAGAGTGTTTCCGGCTTGAAGGTACTCTTTAACAATAAATTTAATTAATCATAAAATGTGCACAGTTTTTTGTACGCTGAACCCATTGAAAATGGCTAGAAGAGGTATAATGGTTTCGTGCAAATGTATGTAACAGGGAGATGGAAGCATTTCCGACCCCATAAAGTTTATATATGCTTGACCAGCATCAATAGTCGAGTCGATCTAGCTGTGTCCGTCAGTCTGCCGGATGGACCCGCTTAACCGTCAATCTGTCCGAATGTATGAATGCGTCAATCTTACTACCTTAAAGAGCTTTGAAATTTGAACGTAGGTTCTCCTAGTTGCCAAGCAATCGATAAAAATCGATATCGAAATCCTTTATTTTTTGTAGAACTTTACTTCGACAACTAAGCAATATACTCCTAAGACAGATAAAAAAAATAGAACAAATAAGCACAACATCCAGAAGTCGACAACGTTCAAGCCAACTGTACAAGCACAACATCTATTAAACCAAGCTCTCAAAAACCAACAACGCCGAAGAAGAAGAAAACTTAACCAAGTAAAACTAAAAATTAGCCAAGCACCCAAAAGTTTTCAACTGAAGCATGTGCTACGACAATAAAGCCAAGTTTAATAAAAAAAAGTTCTCAAAAATAAACAGCGAATAAGCAAACTGAGACAAGTAAAACATTAAATATGCCAAGCACCCAAAAGACTTCAACCATAAAGCCAACTGATGCGAGTACTACGCCAATAAAAACAAAGTATTTCGGGCATTTTACAACGTCGTGGTGGCACCAACTTGGAGATACGGTATTCAGGTTTGGGGCATTGCATCTCGGACAAATCGTAGACGGATTCAGACACTCCAAAACTTGGCCTTGCGCCGAATTACCGGTGCTGACTGGTACGTCAGAAATTCAACCTTGCACAGAGACCTCAAACCGGTACAACGAACGCTTGCAGCGACACTGCAACCGGGTAGCAAGAGACCCCGCTGGGAGGTGTGTAGTCAGGAGGCTCAAGATCGTTCAAGGACCTCCTCCAACCACGACATAGGAGACGCCCCAGAGTCCGCCGACTACCTACGTGTCGATGCAGCCTTACTCAAAAAATCCGCCTTTGACGTTTGTCCACGATAAAGCCTGAGGACTCAACCAGGCGTGGCGTAATATCACCTAAGCCAACTGTGTTGTAATAAAAATGTATGCTATTTTTAATTCAATACAGTAAACAAACAAAACAAAAAACATATAACAAAAAACTAGAAAAAAGCCTCTAGTCGGGAGTTCCCGACTAGGGGATACCCTGAACCCGCTTCTACCAACAACAAATTCAGCTCGCGCTACGCGCTCGTTTTAGAAATAATAAAAATAAATAAAAAAAAAAAAATGTTTCCTCGATAGGTTTCGAACTCGTAACAGACCACACTATTTGCAAACGCCTTTACTTAACAGCCACACTAAGAATTGAATTTCCATGAGAAGAAAGGGATTAACATAGCAGCACTTAAATCAATACAATCGCAATTGCCATGTTGTTGATAGAATTAAATAAAGACGTGTATGAATGTGTGTGTGTACATGTATACAGAAATTCTTGCGATTTGCCCTAGCTGCGGCAAACACGAGGCCAGCCAATAAACGTTTTCTTTGTGTTTCTGAACCGATCTAGATGAAATTTTTAGTAGTTTATTGTGCTATAGAATATTCGTATTGTTAAAAATAATGAAGCCGATTACTTGTATAAAGTAAAATGTAATAGAGTTGCTCAACACTTATCGATATCTACTAATTGTATCGAGTATTAATTTAGTTTTCATTAAACCGTCTCCTACATCACACGTGCGCGTTCTTACTCTGGTTGGTTTTAGGCATTGCAGCTTTTATGCCAACAATAGGTTATGGGCCCAGGGTATTAGTTTTCGGTATAAATAAATTTAAAAAAAAGAACTAGAAAACGTTCCGGTGAAAATTCAACAAACAAAATGAATATGTCGTTGCAAATAAAAAAAACTTTACGAAAGCAATTACGATATTTGGAGCATTACCATGCGTAGTGTGCTCATAACAACAGATTTGTGGAAAGTTGTTTGTGGGCAATATGCAAAGCCTGAAGGTCCCGCAGAATTAAATGCGTGGAATCTAATTGATCAAAAGGCATTAGCAAGTTTGATTTTAAGTGTCAAACCATCAGAGCTGATGCACATAAAAGCATGCACAACAGCAGAGGAAGCATGGAATAAACTTCGTGACATTCATATGCCAATAGGTCCTATCAGGAAAGTGCAGTTATATCAAAAACTTATTCGTTTAAATATGCAACAAGGGGACAACTTAATGAATACGTGAATTCATTTGTCGAAATTGTGGAATAATTGGCCGAAATGGACATTTTAATAAATGACGAGCTACAGACAATAATGTTGCTTTGTAGTTTACCAAATTCTTGGGAAAATTTCGTCGTTGCGATCGAGACACGCGACATGCTGCTGCCGTTCGATACTGTAAAAGCGAAGCTTCTGGAAGAAGGGGCACGAAAACAAGAGAGACAGGAACGCAGTGAGTCGGTTCAAGCAGTCTATGCACACACAAATATACAAAAGTATGTACAACAAAAACCTACCGATCAACGCGAAGGCAAAAGTAATGGTGAATCGAATAGCCAAAAGGGTAGCGCAAAACTGCGATTCAAGGGCAAATGCTTTATTTGCGACAAGATTGGCCATATGGCAAGTGAATGCCGCAGAAAAGACGCGCAAAGAAAAGAACATAAAAACAAAGAGTGAAACAACTGTCTTATGCACATCGGTTGTTTACGGTATTGCTGCAAAATCGCGCCTTACGAAAATCAGGGTGTTTCAAGCAAAAGCGCTCCGCTATCTGTCTGGTGCCCCCTGGTATATGCGAACTTCCGATGTGGAAAAAGACTTAGGAGTGCCCAAAGTCGGGGACGTCATAAACAAACAGACTGCAAACTACATAACGCGACTGGGAAACCATCCAAATCGCCTGGCTAGGTGCCTTCTAAAGAGGCGTCGAATTGGAGGAGTCCGAACGCGGAGGAGATTGCGGAGGTCTCATCCAATCGATCTCCCAGATCGATATATATAGTCACCGTAACCTTGTTAATTTTATATTAGACTTAATAGTAGACTAAGTAGTATTGTAAATTTTCTAATAAATTTAATTTAAGTTGGTCTTATAATAACAGGAAAATTAAAATAAAGCTAAGAAAATTTTAATAAAAAAAGAAAAAAAATAAATATGCACATCGGTAATGGTATACAACAAAAAACACATATATGGTGCATAGACAGTGGAGCAACATCTCAAATGTGTTGTGCCCGGGAACAGTTTACATAGTTTATCGCCGATAAAACATCGATAATGTTAGCGGCCGATAAAATTGTGGAATCTTGCGGTATCGGAACTGTTAAGATACATGTTTAAAATATAGACATTGAATTAAGAAATGTAATGAACGTTCCTTCATTAAATATGCATTTTTTGTCATTGTGTAATGTTGTGGAATTATTCAAAAGAAAAAGGTGCAGCTTATCTATTGAATAATTCTTCAAGCGCAACAACATGGCACAATAGCTTTGGGCATTAAAACTATCAAAGTTTAAAGCAACTGAATGACAAGGAGCTTGTACATGGAATGAAAATTATCAATATGCCAGTTGAAATTAATTCAAAGGATATGTCGAGTTGGAAACGGGCAAGAATATAAAAACTCTCAGCAGTGATAATGGAACCGAATATGTGAACCGGGAATTTTCTGAATATTTAAACAAATGTGGCATAAAGCGACAGTTAACGGTTCCATATACGCCTCAACAAAATGGTATAGCTGAGCAAGCCAATCGTACTATTGTTGAGATGGCCAAAAGCCTCTTAATCAATTCACATCTGGTAGAGTTTTTGTGGGCTGAAGCTGTGATCACAGCATCATATCTACGAAATAGATGTTCAGCAAAAGTGCTAGATGGCGTTACACCTTTCGAAGTATGGCATCAAAAAAAACAACCCGTCAAGCATTTGCGAGTGTTCGGATCTCGCGCATTGGCACTGGATAAGGCGAGAAAAGGCAAATTCCAAGCAAAAGGCAAAGAATGTGTATTTCTTGGCTACTCCACCACAGCAAAAGCTTATCGCTTATATGATCAAGAAAAGCGACAAATTATAGAACGACGTGATGTTACATTTGCAAACAAATCCCATGGTGGTCCAACACGTCAATACCGGCATCAAGAATAGTGACTCCGATGAATGGGAGGAGGAGTTTGTAAGCGCCAGCGATGAAGAGCATTGCATCAGTGATGAGGAAAATGTTCCAGACACATCTCAAGATTCAAAACGCGGACCTGGCAGACCTAAACTGATTCGTAGTGGCCAACCCGGCAGACCCAAAAAAACAGTATCACAATCTAAATTATATAGACGATATTAATGCTCCGCAAAGTGTCCAAGATGCTTTAAAGAATAAAAACGCACTTAAATGGAAGAATTCGATGCAACAGGAATACGATGCACTTCTAGCAAATGACACTTGGTCGATGAGCAATTTACCTCCAGGACAAAAGAGACAAAGACGGGAACATCGAGTGGTTAAAGTTCAGAATAGTTGCCTAAGGATGTGGTCAAGAGAAGGGAATCAACTATTCAGAAACTTTCTCACCTTTCTACTCTACGAAACTATCAGAATGCTTTTCGCCATTGCTGCAGAAGAGCAGTTATGTATGCATCAGATCGATATCTCCAATGCATATCTCAACAGCAGACTTCAGGA